TCATTCCATGGCCTATTAAAAAAACACTGAAAAATATAATAGTGATTTCTCAGGAACAGACCAGTGTATTCATAACTCTGTAGAAAAACTAAGAAATGTGGTTCTTATCTGAATTCAAAATTTTAATAGGAAAAATGATTGCTTAGTCCATATCATGGAATCTCATTCAAAACTAATCCCACTGTCAGTTCATTTTACATTTAGCCCATCTTCTTAAATATTGCTTAAGCCTTTGTCACCTACAAGTTCAAAGAAAGATACATGCCAGGAGTTTCTTACTTTTTTTTTTTTTACATCTGTAATTAAAACAGTTCTGAGGTGGGAGAGGAGCTGATGTTAATTGGCAAGGTCTTCATTATTGTTTTGTCACAGTAGTTTTATTCTTTTCTGATATCAAATGTATTCAATTCTGTGTTCCCACAATATCCCAGAAAGACTAAAATAGATCTCTGTTTGGTTAAGGAATTGTGTAGAAGAGGCTATGGACCAAAACCTGAGCTTCTAGCATCAAACTCTTGGGTCATTTCTAGATAGTTGACTGTTTGCATTTGACCCTAGGGTTAAAGATTGAACTGACCAAATTCCCACAAACTCCAGCTGGTAATGCTTTGCAACACTGGGTGTACCCGAGAGGAACATGTGAGTTTTTTCCTTTTAATCTCATTTCATGACTCCTCACACTCCTGCAGTGGTCTCATTTAACTCTCATTTGAGCTATAAGGAATGTGAACCCCAAAATGCATATTAGGATGTAGTCCTCTTGTCACAGGTTACCTCAGCATCAGCTTCATAGCTTAAACCTGAGGAAAGAAACACATTTTGGGATGCCATATATATGCCAATATCCGGGTTCAGATTCCTATAGAGGAAATAACGATAATAACAGCAGCTTCGACATAGAGTGTCGTGAGGATTAAATAATCAGGATGTGTCATACAGTATGTGGTCGCTATGATTATCTTAATAATATTAACTCGAACGATCATTGAGGTCATCTTATTTAAGCCCAGATTTTCCCGAGTATGGGAAGGGACGCTAAGAAGCAGAATGATTTTCTCAGATAACAAAACAAGACAAAATAACAAGTTTCCCTAATGCCCAATCTGTTGTTATATTTATGAGCAAAACCAAATTCAAAAGATTATGAACGCTGACTCCATTTTGAGAATTTATTGGTACCATTTAGTAAATCGCTAAACTGTTTCTTTAATCTGCCGGTTCCTACTAAGAAATAGCATCATTTGATTCTAAATTTTATGAGTATTGATAACAAGAAAGAATCTGCAAGTTAAGAACCGACTGCTACATTTTATAAGTCTATAAAATTTAAGGACAGCCTCTTTTATGTTCAAATAAAATATTTCATAGAAAACAGTGAATAAAAAATGATAGTTAAAATAATTTTACTTAAATATGAGAGATGTCTCCTCTTCAGAATTTAAAACTTCTTGAATATTTGTCAATATAATGATGTGAAACAGGTTGTTACTCTCTCCTGTTGTCTGAAATGTGCTGGCTTCCTCTGAAATTGCACGTTTGTTCTAGAGAGCTCAGTGATTAATGCACATATATTTTATGTTGTTAAAGTTACAAAATGATAAAACTCTGTTTTCACAACAGATTAGAAATATTTCCTTTCTGCTGGAAAAAAAAGTAATGAGCTACATAAATATAAACATCAAAAGTGGCTGTAAATGATAAATGATGTACTTTCCCTGAAAAGTTCATTTTCTTTCATGGCAAGAAAAAGCAGAAGACTGTTTTTAATTTTATTTGTATGAACTTAAAAGAAAATAGTTTCTGGGCTTTCAGATTATTATTAAACACACAAATTACTGACCATTTTTTGTGTGAAAGGCAAGATGCTAGTTGCTGAAGACACAGAAATTGGTAAGATATCACTCTATCAAGGACATTAAAAATAGGTATGATTTTTGTTCTAACATGTTGCTTAGTAACCAGTACCAACTAAAATTATTTAATAGCTTTGAACAGTTTGGTTAATAAATATAATAGAGTTGAGACAATGTCGGGGCATATATATTCATTAAATGCTCTTTCATTATTACCGTTCTCTCATTACATTAAATAGCATCAGAGATACAGTTAATTTTCATTTTCAAAAGCTGTTTTAATTTCTTTCATTTGAATAATTAAACCAGAAGAGTTGTAACATTAAAACAGAGCTGATACAAGATTGTTTAAATGACATTTTGCTTTGGGACAAACAAAACATTTCCACAAAATGTAAGTAATCTCTTAACTACCTATCATTTAGATTATAAAAATGCTTATTTCACTAATTAGATTGTATCTTATTTATTTATTTTTGCCAGGTATACTTGCTTTCTATTCTTGGCCTTATATTTTTATGGTAGAGTACAAGATTAGCTTGTATTCAAATTTTATGAGTTTCCCCAGTAATGCCTAAGGATAATTTATTGTCATCAGATGATGATGTGTAAGTGATGCACAGTGGTATTGAGTCTTCTAAAAAGATATAGCTGTCATAATTTTACTTAAGATCTTCCTAAGTTATAATTATGACATTTCTCCTTAGTCATATGTCCATATATACAAAGATACATATGAAATACAAATAGAAGCTGTGTTCATATTTTATTCATGCTTTCATTTTTCCTGTTTCTTAGGCCTTTCAGCTGAAGTGTATCAAACGGATGGGTAGAGTGTCTCTTTACAAACTTTACAAACCCCTTAGCATGACTCATGTTGCAAGGGAGGCCAGGTCCAGCTGTGAGCAGGCTGCTCAAGGCCAGGGCAGTGGTGGGGACACAGGTGGGGTCACAGCTGAGGAGCAAGAGAGGACACAGGAGGAGACCAGGGCTTGGGTGAGGCTCACCAGGTGTGAGCCTTGCACCCTGGGAGCCAGGAAGAGAAACTTGTCACCCACTGAGTCAAGGAGGCTGAGGATACAGGAAGCTTGCTGAGATGGGGCTGACCCCCGCAGTGTGGAAGGAGGGCGAGAAAGAGGCACGGCAATCTAGAGGGGCAGGAGAGGCTTAGTGGGGAAGGCAGGATTGAGGAGAGGGTCATGATGTGTCGTGTTGCTCATGTATTCAAAAGATCTCCTAGTTGGAGTTAAATAAAATAGGAGACCTGACAGCTGGGTCAGGATATTCTGTTTTCTTTTGTTGTGCTGTTCACTTTCCTTCAAGATATTTGCATGGTGGGGATTCAGCTACTTGTTACATAAGCCAGTTAATATTTATGAAACAAGTTCTTTTTTTTTTTCTTTTTTCTTTTGGTACAGGGGATCGAACTGGGGTCCTTGCCCTTGCGCAGCAGGCGGCGAAACCTCTGAGCTAAATCCCCAGCCCTGAAACAAGTTCTTTATAAAAAAGTAAGGCATTGTTTCAGTCATGTTAGGGCAAAATGAGAAAGAAAAGTAAAGAAGCTTTCACATTAACATAAGAAAAATAAGGATTTTTTTTTTATTTTTGTATTTTTTTGAATTTCATTAGCCAAGATGTATTATCAATTCAACCTGTTGATTTCCTTTTTTCTTTTCCTGTTGAGATTTACTTTTTTATAATTTTTTAAATAAGTACACGATTGTACTATAAAATGATCATGGTCCTTGTGAGGAGTTGGTAGGTGTACATAACAGATCATAATCCTTTGCTTTTTTAAATTTTGGAGGTCAAGAATTAAATGAATCGTGACCACAGACAAAGAACTAACACAGGAAATCTGATGATCAGTGACCCAGGATGTCCAGGAGAGCTGGAATCAAAGACCAATGGCAGGTTATGTAAGAGGAGGAAGAACTGGAAAACTCACTGCAGTGTTCTTGTAAGCCAGTGTGAATTTGTGCGAACCAGCAACCCTCAGAACACATGAAAAGAGGTCATTTGTGCCAGTAGACCAGCCAGATGGGAGGAAAGGTCTCACATGGAATCCTGGCCTTAGGAACGGGAGAAACTCCAGCAGCAGTGAACGAGAAGGAGCAGAAGCCTGGGAGATACGGCATTGGGCAGAACTTGGGATGAATGTGCAAACAGAGGCATGCACTGTGTTGAGAGGATGGGCAGATGGGAAAACAAGGAAAGCTGGGTTCAGGTCTCGGGCTCTGTTCCTGGAAAGGGCTTCTCCCATTATCAGGCAGGAAGTAAAGCACTAAGCAGGAGAAAGTAGAACCAGAGAGCTGCTTAGGAAGAGTTCTCTGGTCACGTCCTGAAAGAGAGAAGGGAAAAAGGTACTGTAAAGCATTATCTCAAAGTTTAGACTCTGAGAACAAAACCTCAGAAACAGATTGAGTTTCTAAGAGATGAAATTATGAGTTATTCACTAGGACAACTGGGAAGAAATGAAAAACTTGGGTTAATAAGTGATATCCTAAGGAGTAGTGTCACTCAGAAGAGCTTGGAAGGAAGAAGGATTCTTTATAAGTGAAGGAAAACTTGATGGTGGTGACTTGGGAAAACCCCAGTGGAATGTCATCACCCCTGGGTCAGAGGGTGGATACTGTTGTTCGTCCCTTCTATTTCTATCCCCTTTGCATCTGACTAGTTAAATGTAAGAGTAATTTTAAGAAGAAATAATGTGGATATAGTTCACTTCTCAGCACTGTAATAGTGGAAATCATTGACAGATCAGTTGGTATTATTCTCATACTTTTCAACACCTTCTCCCAGTTGGAAATTTCCTATGCAGCAGCAAACATAGTGGACAGAGGGGGATTTTCTTGGCTAAGAAATAACCTATGCAGACTGAATGAATCTTGGATTCAGGCGTAACTTGAACTCAAGTGATAAAACATTTATATATTTTAAAGTTGTTACTGTCACACCAATCTTTAGAACCAAGAAATGATTGAGCCTCAGTGGTTTATATTTAACTTACACTGATCTTTTTTCCCTAATAATTCTTAAAGTTTTAAAAACATATCTAGAAACTAAGCATTTTGAGAGTTTCTCACTTCCCAAATTAAATACATTCACTTAGTAGCTTTTTTTTCACCTATGCTGCAAGAGAATATCAAAATCTTCAAACCTTGATGTCTTCCTGGACCCTTAGATTCTAGTGCTGATCCATGGGCTGCTTCACTAGGGCTGTGGCATTGGAGATTTGAAAACTGTGTGGTGTAAACAGCAGACACATACAGTCTTACCATGCTAGAGGCCAAGAGGCCCGCGTCTCAGTGTTGTTGGGATTGCTTCGGCTTGAGGCCAGTGAGGAAGCATTAGCAGCTGGCCCATCAGTGGTATGCAGGTTGTCTCTGGCATTCCTTGACTTTTAGAAGCGTCATCTTCCATCTCTTACTTCATCTTTCCATGGAATGCAGCTCCACCCATGTCTGTGCCTACACTTTTCCTTTTCTTGGGGCACATCTTGCTCAGTATAACCTTACCCTAACTAATTGCATCTGTGATGATCACATTTCCAAACAAGGTCACAATGTGAGGAACTAGGGATTGGGACTTCAACATATGAATTTGAGGGAGACACAATTCAACACGTAGCAATATTAATAAAGATATGCATGTGGACATTGCTAAGAGTCATCTTGCAGATAATCTGTTCGTTGGAGCTCGTTCATATCTAAAGAAGTTAAAGACAAGAAGGCAGTTGTTACCAGAAGTAAGATGGTTTCCATTTGTATCCAAATTCTACCACTGGAGATCAAGTCCCCATTGGCTCTCCTACCATAAACACTTACTCCTGCCCCAGTTTTGAAGTCCTGAGTCACCCAGGAGAAAGCCACTTTCATAATGCCCCATCCTCAGCAACCCTTGGTGACCCCATTCTTCCTACGTGGTGAAGTCTAAGTTCCTAGGTATGCTACTTAGAGTCTTCCAACCACCAAAGCACGTCTGGCATTTGTGTAATGTTCAATGGTATAAACCCGTGTTACAAACTCAACTAATCACCATCTTCTCAACACATCAAAACCATCTTTATTTCTGTACCTCTGTTTATACATCCTATAATCCTGGTGGAAATCTCACCACTTCTATGACACTAACCATGTGCATGAGTTGTTCCTGAGCCTCATTCCTGTCGTACTCATAGTCTTATAAATAACTTTGAGTTAATGTCTACTTTTATTGCTGCTTGCTCTTCCTGTGTTTATATTTTATCCCCTAGCCAGCCTGCAAACATCTTGGGAACAAATAAATTCTACCTTGTTATTAATAGAGTTATATAGATCTTCAAGCACTATAGACAGAATTGACTTATGCATTTTTAAATCAGTGAAGTATACAGTGCTTATATGTGTTTCACTTTGAATCGCTGTGTTCCCACAGTTAATTGTTACATTCTCAGTTCACACATTACCACATTATCTCTTGTAAAGTTAGGAGTCAGTGGATTTGGATCATCCCAATGAACTTGCTCATTTAGTCCTTAGCTTTTGTTACCTTATCTATAAAATCAGAAAATAGTACTAATATAATTCTAAGGCTAATTACTCTCCACCCTAAATTTCCATAGTTTAAGGGTCTGTACATTGTATCATTTAAAATGTAGTTTCCATGTATAGTTATTCTTGACAATCTTTTATATAGATATATAGATGGATGAATTGGTAAATTTAGTGTTTTGTATTGTTTTGCTTTTTTTGTCAGTACTGACTAGTAATTTAGTGTTTCACAGATATTTGGTTGATTTTGTGATCTATATCTAGTGATATTGTAAAGAGTTTGAAACTGGCCTATAGAAAACAAAAATTAATTACAAAACAAATTGAAATTAATTTGTATACTGCTATATAATTAACTACTAGCAGTGATTAGCTAAGGAAACAGCATTGTGGAAACAAGGGGTAGCAGAATTTTCACTTTAAATAGTGTACATATACTTTCACAATTAAAAGATAATAATCAGCTGAGGATGGTGACACATATCTGTAATCCCAGCATGCTGCTGGGTGGATGAGGCAGAAGGATCTCAAGTTTAAGACTGGATGACTTAGCAAGACCCTGTCTTAATTTTTCTAAAGGTTTGTGCATATAGCTTACTACAGTGTTCCTGGGTTCAATCCCAATATTGCAGATCATAATCATAAGGGAGTTTGTGGGCCAATGCCAAATTTTAGAAAAAAAACCAACAGGGTAGTGAAATCAATAATAAAAATAAATTTAACTGTTTCCTTCGGTCTCGGCTACTTTTCTTGTTTCTGAGACAAAATAACACCCAAAGTTAAAGGAGAAAGTTTATTTAGCTCATGGTTTGTAGAGGTTTCAGTGCCTAGTCACCTGGCTCCAAAGCAGAGTGGAACATGGCAGAGGAAAAATGGTTCATGGTGGGCAGAAGACAGCAAAAGCAAGCAGTTGACAAATGACAATCCTCTTCTATCTTCTATCTCCTTATATCTTCTATCTCATATCTTAAATTTTATATCTTATCCAGGCTCCCCAGCCTTAGGGAAGACAGCACTCACACCCTTTATCCTAGCATTACACTAAATCAATCCCAGAGTCTCACACTCTAGATCCAGCCACCTCTGAGAAAACCCCACCTATGACCGCATGAGGCTTTGAGGGGACATCTAGGTATAAGCCAGAGCACCTTCCTTCCTCCATACAGAGTTGTAGCAGTAATATGTCACATCCGCAGGTGTGTGTGCAGTGCATCAATGATATATTAACATTCTTTCCTAGCATACAAAGGGCTTCAGCAGCATATATACAATTTAAAATTAGAAGGATATGGAGAAGTTTAGGATAGCCCTTGTGAAAGGATGACACCCAAACTCTTGAACCTTCCATGTTTCCATTCATTTTATGACAAAATAAGCCAAGAGACAAAAAAAAGACACACAAAGAAATGTTTGAAGGTGATGAATATGTTCATTATCTCGATTGTGGTATTGGCAATAGGAGTGTTTGCATATATTCTACTCATCAAATTTTACACATTATATATAAACAGATGTTTGTATTTTAATTATGCCTCAACAAAGCTGCAATTAAAAAATTTCGTCTGATAATTTCTAAAAAGACTAGCGTTTTGAAGTTGAAGGAACAGTACCAAGAAAAGCAAAACAATTTGTGGTATGTGAGATAATTAATTACAATATATGAGCACTAACTATGATTCTAGATTCCCTGGAAACTCAGACTAAAATGAATTTCATGGCCTGAATCCTTTTCATTGTATGATAAGGAAAAAAAAGCATTAGGCAGATCTACAGAGAACAATTGTCTTGGTACTGATGTGGAAATACAATCCATTTTGTTCATTCTCTTTGTAAGGGACCTTGGTGCACAGAATAGACCATGTCTTCAACTGTGGTTTCAAACAGATGCACTTTATATCAGTGGACATTTCATTTATTGAAGCTCCAACAGTGTTGACAGTGCAATATTCTATCAACACAAGGGAATGATTCTCGCAGAGAATGAAAATAAAGACCAAAGCCCTTTACTTCCTGATGATTCAGGTTTTTCAAGGTTTAACTGGGAAATCAGAAAAAAATTTGGTTCATTCTTTTATCCATCAGATTACCTTATTGCACCCTTAAATGTAACATCTTCTGATGAGTGAGGCACCTGAGGGATCTCACACGTCAGCCTGCCCTCTGCTGGGAGCCCCGTGGGGACTCGGTCTCTCCTGCAGGAAGAGTGTGCCCCAGGGTTATACCCTTCCTGTCTAGGAAGTGTGGTTCCTGTAATCACAAAGTGGAAGCAAATGGGACAGGACGTGAGAAGCAGAACATTGGCTCTTGTAGGGTAAACAGTGATGACCCAGAAAAGAACACAGCCAGCCTGAATTGGGGGGTTCTGGGCAGGACCTCCTGGAAAAACTCCATAGGAGGTCCTGAGTCCAGTTTCATTGAGCTGGGTCTTTCATGGATGGTGGGTGGTAGGATGGGCTTAGGTAGGGTGTGGTGGGGGGTGTGGCTATAGCGATGAGCATTGTGACCTAGCAGGCGAGGCTGGAGTGCCCTGTCCTAGTGAGTAGGCATTGCTCCCTGGGCTCGGGCAGCTGGGAATCAGCGGGTCCGGAACTCAGATGGCTGAGGGGCAGGCAGGAGTCAGACTTATCATTTCCTAGGTGTTAAGGATAACAGCAGGAAAACCAGGTAAGAGGTGGGGACTAGGTAATGTTTTTAATAGGTTCAAGTTCATCAAGTATTAGGTTCTGATTTTCCAAGGTGAATCTGCAAGAACTCCTAGGTTCTTCAAAATGGCTCAGGGTTTCTTTGGGATCCAGGACTGGTAAGAATTGCTTCCATCAGTGCTAAGGGAAAGTGACACTCCATGGATACAAGCTCATATTGGAGTTTAAGAAATATGGCTGTAGTTGTTCAGTGATGAAGCTTGGAAAGCATCTCTGGACATTTACAGACACACACACATTCACACCTGCTAATGTCATTTCTCCTCTGACCATACACGTAGGTAAATGGGAAATTCATGCACAAAATACTTATCTAGGAAAATCAACCCTTTCAATAGGAAAAAAAATGGAACTAGCAGACAGTTGCTGTAAAAATACCACTGGAACAAGTGTGAAAGAGAGCAATAAACTTGTCAGCAGATGAGTACTCAGAAAAATGTTGCCACCGAACAGATGTGACGTTGTGACTAAAGTTTTACTCTTCAGCATTTAAAAGGTTAATAAAAATCATACTTCTATGAAAGAAGGTTATGAATCGCAATATGAGAAAACAATATCAGTTGGCAGAATTCAGTGAAAAGGCAACCCAATACCATCACTAAAATACAAAAGAAATGGAAGAAGAAAATCTAAAAATAGACTCTGTAGAAAGGATAGCAAGATCAGAGGGAATATAAATGAGATGTTACAAAAAACAAAATAAAGGGGGAAGGATTAAGGAGAAGATGACATATAAACCAGGGAAAGCATAAATGCATAATTGGAATCAAAGGAGGAGGAGCAGGAGAAGAAAATCAAAAGGTAGAGGAAGAGGAAGGAGGAAAAAGGAAGAAGAAGGAGGCTGTGGAGGGGAAGTAGAAGGAGGAGGAGAAAGAGGTAGAGGAGGAGGAGAAGGAAGAGGAAGATGGAGAAGAGGAGAAGAGGAGGAGGAGAAGGAGAAAAAATGGAATAGAACAAGTGTTTAAAAATGTAACTTAAGAAAAAAAGTTGTGAACATAAAGAATACCCAAATCTATTGGAAGTATGACCCAGTCAACATTGAAGCATATCCTTCCACCAGTGAACTAAGACATGTGTGTTCAAGTCATGTCCTGGTAGACATATTGGCCTTTAAGGACCCAGAAAGCAAAGGTTGGGGTAAGAAGGAGAATGATTGAGAAGGTGGACATGTTGGTCAGAACACACAAAATTTTAGGAGAAATAAGTTTTAGTAAGTTTTAGCTATCCATTTAACAAAAATTCATCGAACAATACAGTTTTATTAACTATAGTCCATATGCTATGCATCAGATCTTTAGACTTATTCCTCCAACATATCTGCTACTTTCTGTCCTTTTCATCTACATTTCCCATTTTTCTCCCTCATTACACCCCCTAGCCAATGGCAACCACCATGTTCTCTTTCTGTGTCTTTATCCACCCTTAAGAAAAGAGATCTTGCTGTTTGCCACATCATTGATTGGCCCTGGAGGACAGGATGTTATGCTAAGTGAAATAAGATAGATGTGGAAAGAAAAATACTACATCATCTCATTTATATGTGGAATCCAAAAAAAGTTAAATATTCAGACTTAATTATTAGAGGCTACTGTAGCACGAAATGTCAAATACACTGGTAACTCATCTTAGCACACTACAGTTTTCTCCATTCTTCTCATTTTGTGCACACATACAGTATAAGGGCAATACTGGGTCGTTCCTTATTTCTTCTTGTACTAGAACTTCTCTGACCCTGAATTTACTTTTGTTTTAAATGAATACAAAAATACTATCTTCTTAATAGATCTTTCCTGAGAATTAGAATTAAATAAGATAATCAGTGTAAACCACTGTTTTGTAAATGTTCTATAATTATGAGCAATTATTCTGTAACATTTTTTTTCTTCTGAAACATTAATTTTATTAGACTTTCTAAAGATGGAAGTATTGGTTAAATGATGGGAAGATGCATTATTCCTTTGGTATATATATATATATATATATATATTTGTGTGTGTGTGTGTGTGTGTGTGTGTGTGTGTGTGTACCGGAGATCGAACTCTGGTCCTTGCACTTGCAAGGCAGGCACTGGAACCACTGAGCTAAATCCCCAGCCCTGGTCAATATACATTTAAATGTCTACTCTGTGCTGGATGCTAAAAGAGTGTGTTGAACAATAGAGTTGTGGTCCCCAAATCAGAAGCACTTGCAGTTTGGCAGAGAAGACAGATGTGACCCTAAGTCATTATTCACTAACACGGTGTTAGAGAGAGGAAATGGAAGGTGTTAGGGGCATAGAGACTAAGGAGATGTACACGGCCTAATTCACTTCCGAACTGCTCAGCATTTCAAGCGCAGTAAGAGAGTAACACGCCTATTTATTAAATCTTCAAGAGCTTTCATCTCTTTTTATTTATGACTGAAAATAGTTTTTCCTTCTAAATTATCATTTTATATAATTCTTCTTCTGAAGGATATTTGTATACATTATAATCCTGCCTTTTAAAATTTGCCGAAAGGATTTACCTGTCCTTTGTCAACTAAGGGTATAGATGTGTCCTCAAGACAAGAAAATTATTTTAGCATAAGTTTCTGATCTCTCTTTCTCTGTCTCTCATTTTCCTCATTTTTTGTTACTATACCAAAGTTTTGAAGTTTTATATTATCACATATATCCTTCCTTTCCTTTAATATTTCTCCCATTTCTTCAGTATCTACACAGTGTACATTTTCCAAGGATTTTTAAATACTTGACCTTGAGAATTCTCTAACTATATTCGAATCTGCAAGTGAGATCACAGCAGGCAGAGTTTCCATTTTTTCCTACATACACCATGATTACTGACGTGCACCCCAGCATGGTGCAAATTAGCAACACAGCTTGGAGACACAACCTAAACCTCTGCTCTAGAAGAATAGCCCACGCTAAAGTAATTGTGGATCTTTCCGTTTTCATTAAGAGAAGTGATTCATGTCAGTTTTGTAAGATCTTCAGAGTACCTTCCAGTTTTAGAGGGGAGCTTCCCTCAGATTAAAACTGACCTTCAATGTGACCCCCACAGGTACTTTTATACAGTGCATCCTTGACTTACAATCTCAATTCTTGCACAAGGGCTGGTTGTAGCTCAAGTTGGTCAATTGAAGGGTCAGGCTCCTCTACACAGCCTTCGAAGTCTCTCTCCTGTGTACAGGTGGATCTCAGTGTCCTTAGAGAGACACTGGCCCACAATTTCTCAGTTAACCCCACACAGGAAAGGATGTTGTAATGTTCCTTCCAGAATTCTTTAAGGGCTAAATCTGTATCTGAGACCATTTGGAAACACAAGCTGCTGGCATTCAGGTTGTAACTCAAGCTTTTGGTTGTAAGCTAAAACTAAAATTCCTGGTCATAACCCAAGTTGTTCACATGTCAGGCTGGTCGTAACTCAAGGGTCTGCTTTACTTACTTTGTTCTTTTAGAAAGATGGTAGCCCAGCCATGTAAACCAATAAAAAAATCACACTTCAGAAATTTCACCATCAATATTAACTTATACAGTCGTTTTTGGTTTATAAAAATCATTCCTTTTGGACCACATTTCAGTGGTCCAAAGTAAGTCATGACAGTTGTAATCAAATAATTACAATAATTGTACTTGAGTAATCTGGGGTGATGGATAGGCAACTAGAGTGCAATCAGCCGTGAAGACAGATTATCAGCTGAGCTCTGTGAACTTTCAGGAGCAATATGGCTAGCAGGGACTATGATACAGCATTATCCTTTCCAAAAGCCCTTTAACATGCCTTTGGCACATATAGGTGTGGTTTACTTTGGCTTCATCTGATAGTCTGACACAGAGGGATATTCGAGTTGTTTCATAACTGGTACAAGTTACATAGCCAAGGCATACCGCAGTGCTTGATACTACTTTTCTTTGATTACTTTTGTAGCATCTGGATTGTGGAGAGATGAAGCACAGAGTTGGGTGGCTCAGGCAGTATCTACTTATCACCTAGTTCAGGACTATTTGGATCTTTTAACAGCTAGTTAGACAGGTAGCTACTTTTAACAGGTAGTTTAGCCATACCTGTGCGCACAGTTGAATTTATTCATCCTGGTCAGATCTTAAGGGGCTGCACGGACAGCAGCAGAGGGAGGAGCAGGAAGCAGGAAGAGATCTTCTCAGTGACTGAGGAAGGTCTGTCATTGTAGTGAGAAGAGATGTTGCAAGGAGTGACAGTGCTGTGACAAGACTATCTGAGAGGAAGATTTACCAGCACCTTCCTTGCCTTGCCCACAAGGTCTTCTGTCAAGCTTGTGGCTCACATTAGGAACGGAAAGTTGACAGCAGTCCGCTAGTGCTTGTCAGACCTGTGAGCCGTCCTGCAGCAAGCCTTGGGGTTGCTGCTTATTGTCTGCCCATAAGTTCTTGTCTGTAGGACAGGTTGCTACTGTCCCAGGGTTGAGGCCGGCCTTGTAGATGGAAGCTATTGAATCCTGGAAATGCCTCAGATCCTACAATGATGTACTCTGAGTGTCCTCATCTGTGAAGCCATTGTGTTAGATATATTCATTCCCAGACTGGGATGGATAAGTGGCATGCAAAGCTAGCCAAAGGTTCTGATGTATATCTCTGTAAGAATAAATTTGTTGTGTGTGTAGGATAGGAGGTTTTGTTAAATAAATGTCTCAAAAGTGCTTGAGGATCAGAGAATCAAGGATTGAGAAAAGAGCTACCCTGAAAAATTATTAACATATTTCTTTTTATTCTGTTCCTTTTAATTACTTTTTTATCTTTTGCACATTTTATCTCAATACCTGAGAAATTTTTTCTCATCCGAACAACAAAGATAAAATGGTCCTCCTATTAAGAAACAAACCAGAGACATGTGGGTTTCAAAAGAGTGAAGAATTTTAATTTTCATGACCATACTGATCCTGTTTTTCCATTTAGTTGATTTGTACATGTTTCTTTTGTGTTTTACAGCATTTACTGAACATACC